AGTAACTAGTGTGTGTGTGTGTGTGTGTGTGTGTGTGTGTGTGTGTGTGTGTGTTTGTGTTTCAGTAACAAAAGAATACTGTGCGTGTTGCAAGAAAGGATCCCTGAGGCCACCTTTAAGGATCAGTTACAGAAAGGGACATTACACCTCCAAGTTTTATCATCAACATTTTGAGAAGCCAGGGAAGAAAAGCAAATTCCAGCTGCAGAAGTAAAACAATAGAAGAAAACAATTAAGTTAGGAGAAATTGAACAGATGTCAAATCTTGTGCCGGGATACGAATAATCACTACACTGAGAAATTCAGTCACTCAGTGCTGCTGCTGTGGGATTCCGAGGAATAGTTCTATACTCATCCTCTGTGGAAAAACAGTTAGAGGCTGCATGTAAAGGAAATGTTCAAGTCATCTTTGACATGACATGACAGAGCTCCATATGCTAAGCGCACAGCACGTGGCATGGGATGAGACAGACACAGAAAGGCAACCAAGTTTCAACAAAGTCCTGACACTGGGAACTACACCTAGCTCTGGCCTTATTCACACAAGTGACATGAACTACACTGTGTGTGAGTAAGATGAGCAGGACCTGGTCCCTAAGTAAAACCCATAAAGTCTTGCGTTGAACTGAATGAATTAAAAAAAAAAAACCAATAATAAAAGTCATGTAAAGGAACCCAAGACATCTTTACAAGCAAAAGACCCACATCTGTGAAGTCAAATCAAATCAAATCCGTGGTGGTATTCAAAACCGGTGGGATTAAAAAAAGAATTCTCCCCAGCTGAAGGAAGGGTCCTGAACAAAGGAGATTACAGAATGGTCCATAAAAGTCTCCGAGGTGCTATGGTAACATCCTTTATCTGTGCTTCAGAGCAAGCAAAAGACTCAGTACAGACACGGATATGTTTATTGGAAAAAAAAAGGGGGGGTAGAGGACAGAGTCAGAGGCACTTATGCAGAGATCAATACACGAATAGCTCAGAGAGACAGATCTGAGAACATCATCTCCCGTTGTGGCACTCATAGGACACAGCCAACAAAAATAAATGCCGTGTGGGCTCACACGCCCACCCACAAGCTGCTACCTCTGCAGTTTGCATTCTGCTAGATCTCTAGATCATTATGCTCAGCTCCATAGCCCGGGCAAGTAGAGCTGCAGCGATACCATCTACCCCCTCCCCTCCACACTCCAGTAGGTCACTCCAACCTGTTCCACTGGTCAGAAGGCACCACTTTTCACATGCCTTTTATTCTTCCCAGCCAGGAAGCACATGACACTATGAGCTGAAAGGGAAGGAGGGAGGGAAGTTAGCAAGATAATAGGAGTGGGTGATAAATGCTTCCATCCAATCCCAAGCATGCATATTCAGGACAAATATAGCATCTCCTAAGGCATCTTTGGAGGTGTTGGAATGACTGGATGAATTAATTCAACTCATCCCATACACCCTTTCAAAAAACCTAAGGTCTTTGACAAACCAGAATCAAGCCTTGCTTGCGTCACGTCTTAATTTAAAGCACTGTTATTAATTATTTGTATTAGCACTATATCTACAGACAACAACGGATAGCAGGGCCCCCCTGTGCTAGCCAGTGTGCACATTAGCCAAGCCCTGCTCCAAAGAATTGAAATAGACAAGACAAAGGTAGGAGGGGAAACAGACAGGAAGTGAGTTGCCTACGGTCACGCAACAGGTCAGGGTCAACGCCAGGAGACCTGGGTTGTGTTCCTGACTTCCAGTCCTGTGCTCTACCCACTGGACCATGCTGTTTTTTGCTGCTGATTAGACTTTGCAACCACTGCTCTCACATCTGCAAGCACTTCATATGTATACCTCGCATACTGCCTCAATACCCATTACTGTGTCTATATACTGCAATGCCATTGCTCTTTCTAGCCTGCATTAACTCAGGGGGCTAGTCAGTTCTTCTCTCCCGTCTTTGATATTGCCTTGTTCATAGAGCACTGCAGGCCGCCCTGCACCGTATTTCTTGTGCTCCACATGGACACTGTCTGGTTCATAGCTCTTTTTTGTTGTTTTTTTAAACCAACGATCTGTTCATATTGCCTGTGAGGAGAATACACAAGCATGTCAGAGAACACAACAGCAGCCCTTTCACACACACAAGAGGAGAGCAGATTCTGAAGTGATGCCGAAGATCTGGATTGCTGCTGGCTGCTTCTGTGCTTCCAAAAACACACAACCCCTCTACAGTAACGGTCCCAAACATTCCAATCACATCACTGCAGCTTTTGCAGTCATTATTGGAGTGGATCTGGTTTTGTTTTATTTCAAAATGTTGTACATTATAATGACCATCCTTGCAGAACAAAACAAAACCATCAAACCTCCAAGGGAAGTGCTTTTAAAAAATAATGAAGGGAAAGCAATCAGTTTAGGAACACTGCTCCAAATTCAGATCTGGAGTTAGCAAGGGTAAGTCCCATGACCTTCAGTGGGCGATGTGCCTGCTTATTCCAGAGCTTCAAAGTCTTGGTTTTAAACAATACGTAACTAGAAGAGATCAGCTGGCTAAAGGCACTGGCATAGGGAGTCCTTCCTCTCAAGAGGAATAAATAATAAATTTGTTAGTCTCTAAGGTGCCACAAGTCCTCCTGTTCTTCTTCCTCTCAAGGTCATTGGTTCAAATCCAGTACAGGTCTACACTGATTGAGAGTTGCTGAACAGCAATGGGATGATAGTACATAGGTAATGAATGGCTGGTCTACGTTTGGATCCTGCTTATCCAGTGTCTTCTTTTCTACCAGCTAACCCTATGAGCACCTTCCTCATGGGCATGGCCATAAGATTTTTCTCCTCGAGTGAACTTTCTCTGCCTCGGAAGAGGTCCGTTTCAGGCCAAGCATGACACATACTAGAGGCTTTCACAAACAGCTCACTACTGCTGCGTGGGTCCTGTGGATAAATACAGAACTTGGTTTCCCCACTGCTATCAAGTTTCATCTCTGAGCAGTAACACAAAGAACATGAAGACTATTCAGATTATTGTAAAGGGTCACGCTCCACAAAGTGAAACAATGTGGAGGTACAGAGAAGTACTTCTGACCTTGCAATAGGGAGCCTCAGAACTTAAATATGGGATCAGCCAGACCTAAACTGAACCCAGGAGAGGCCTGATAGTGACCTAGCGCTCAACTTGTTTTACAACCAGAGCAGCAGCAAATAGTAATCGTTATAACTATAGCCAAAGGTAGTTTACAAAAAAAGTCACATGATTGTGGTTAGATGGTTACTGTTTAACTTTCAGATCTGAGCATTACTGGGCCCCATAGAATTCCAGTACAGGAACAGCAACAGCGTCTACCTGCCTTTATTAATGCCCGTTAATCATGATGGCTGGTTTCAGGCAGACATGACCTCTAAGGATCAGAGGCTCCTCCGGGGCTGTGCTCTTGTTGACTGGTGTAGTAACTACCACAGACAGTAACAAATATTCTCAGTACAAACCTTGGAGCAGCATACTCTTTCTTGCTTTGCTCCTTACACGTAGCGGCATTATTATTACCGCTAACATCCAATCCCAAGATACCGTCTCAGCTCTCTAGCTTTTTAACAGCTTAGATTTCTCAGCCTTACGAAGAAAAAACTTCCTGGCAAACAAAGTACCTATCAACGCACTCCTGCTTATACAGACGTACATCCCACAACGTCAACCATCAATTTTATTTTTTAAGCGAATCCACCTTCTATTTCCCACACCCCAAAAGCCACTGATGCATGCAATCCCAGCAGAACACCAAGCGCAACACATGAACTCACATTTGCATCTCCCCCTTTCCCATTCAGTTAGGACCATATTCTTTCTGGCACAAACTTTGCCTGGCTCTGCTATAGCTTTTAAGTCACGACAAAGAAAACACCTTTCGCAGATGATTAGCAAGGAATTCAATTCTTCCAATGTTAGGTTTCAGAGTAGCAGTCGTGTTAGTCTGTATCCGCAAAAAGAAGAACAGGAGTACTTGTGGCACCTTAGAGACTAACAAATTTATTAGAGCATAAGCTTTCATGGACTACAGCCCACTTCTTT